AGGTTCTGCATTTTAACCAGGAACGATTCAAAGAAAAATGCATGCAATTCATAGGAGCTAGCAACATTCAAGAAAGTCCTGACTCTTATGTGGAAATTCCCACTTTTCAAAATTCTTGACTGTAAACGAGTAGAACCTCAGTATGGAGGAGAATTTTGTTACGCCACATTCTGCAAAAGATGCAGAATATCATCAGCCCAGGGCCCAGAACTTCTCACTAATCAAGAACTGCAAGCATCTGATATCATGAAGAAGATGGGTACTTCGAACACCAGGCACCTCTTGCTCAGAAGACAGGTAAACAGCCTAGGTCCTGGCTTGAAGTTTCTTGACATTTCCAGTGGCTCCAAGCTTAAGTGGACCTGGCCACTGGGTACTGTTTGGAATCCGAGTGTTTCTAGGTGTGGCTGGCTTCTTTTCCCTTTGCAGCACTTTAGAAGCAGATATATTCTCATTCACTGGTCACCTAGAAAGCCAGGCACGTAAAATTTCAGAAATACAGTGCCCAGGTAAGGTGATTGTACTGTATTCACAGGGTGTGCTGATGAGTGATTGGCATGGAAAGCTTTGAAGAGCTCTCAACATGAAGGGAAATGGTCAGAACAATCCGAATCAACCAGAGTGCCAACACCTTTGCCCCCAAGAAGGGATTCAACACTTGTTTGTTCTTCGTATTTATTTCTCTTGTCCTTTCCACTCTGTTTCTGAAAGAGGCACAGACACCTGTCCTGCTGCTCTGTGACACACAGAGCATGCACTTCTGGTGCTGATGCTGCTTAGTCTTTGAAAATAGTAGCTTTAGAAAAATGAAAATGTTTTATTGAATCTCTGAATGGTAGAACAAATAATAATGTACTAAAACTTGAGACTGAATGCTTGTGTTCACGAAGCACAATCTGATAAAGTTATTGTGTGCTTGCAGACTTCAGTACAGAATATTCAACTTTTTGTTTTCTTCACAGAAACGTAAGTCCTGATACACATGCTGCAAACACACATGATGAGGAATTTGTAGACTATGGAAATAATATAATCCAAGCAGCCAGTAAGAGGCATGCAGCAGGAGAGGAAAATGTGCAACAACTACATTTGTTTTTATTGAAAGATAAGGAAAACAAAAAGCCTCAAGCTCCAGCACACCATCCAGTAACACAATAAAGCAAGAGATAAAAGAACACGAGCCTCCAAGCACTTATAGCAAACACTGCAGCTTCATCTTTTAGACAGCTGGAGAATTACTGTCTGACTTCATTGAGATACATTTCTAAAGCTAAGAAGGAGTCTCCTTGTGAACCACCTGTGTAGATGTGGATCTACAAAACAGGCATGTCTCTTAACTCTGGAGATCATCATGAGCAAATGCCGTCAACCACAGACAGGAGCAGAGCTGTTGGGCCAATCCATATTCATCTCCACCAGGGCTTTCTACCTTCTGGTGAAGCACTTGGTTTCATTGTGCTCTCTTCAAGGGAACCTCTCAGTGTGCTGCATCAGATACAGCAAAGCAAAGCACAGCAGCAGCTCCAAAATCGAGTTCAATCAGCTACCATCATACAGGCAGCATGGAGAGGCTACCAAGTTCGAAGAGGGCTGGAAGAAATGAACAAAGCCTCTGTAAAGATTCAGGCAGCATGGAAAGGATACCAAGTTCGAAGGGAGCTGGATGAAATGAACAAAGCTGCTGTCAAGATTCAGGCAGCTTATCGAAGCCATAGGACGCGGCAGGCGTTGCCTCTAGGGTTTTACAATTGCTTAAGAGACAAAAAGGTTGCGCTGGATGGAAAAAAGAAAGAAGAGGAGGGAGTTACGTCAGTGATTGGAGTGCCTGGCAGCCTGGAGTGCAACATGTGGTGTGAGGAAATCTCCCATATGCCAGCTGCTACCACCAAAATTGAGAGTCCATCAGGTTGTTGCAGGGACAGGCGCAGTCCAAGCTCTGATGTTATTCCTGGGGCAGCTGTGTACAGTCCAGAGGTTTATCTCACACCCATCAAAGCTGTGAACCACGAAGACAATTTACTTGCCTTTGAGATTCTCCCAGCTGTGACATCTGAACAGCAAGTCCAGAATGCTGCAGGTAAAATTCAGGCTGCAGGGGGAGAGCACCAAAGCACAGAAGAGCTTGATAAAATTGAAAGACCAGCTGAGAAAAAGTCAGAGCAGAACCTGGTCCTAGCCTACAGTTGTCAACTCAAACAAAACTTTTGTGAAAATTTTCAAATTTCAGACATATGCAGTGTCACCGGAGCGCTGAAATGGACTTCGAAGCCCAAAGACAAGGTGCCATACCCCAAACAAAGCCTCACTGTGCAGTTAGAAGTGAAAAAGAGGAAAAAAGCATCTGATGCTAAGAGTGAAGCCCCATCCATCGGGAAGGTTGAAGTGCACACAATGGTGACGAACCTGCCAGTATCCCAGCGGTGCTCCATCTCCCTCCATGTGTCCAGTCCCAACGGAACTGTGCAGTGCTCTCAGAGGGAAATGGATGTGAGGCAGCTACGGGGGCTGTATGCTGTCAGAGGACTCAAGGGCTCGCAACCTGCTTACGTCTCCATCTGCATCAGCGTGGTGGAAGTGGGAAGGAAGGCAGGTGCGAGCTCAGCGTGGTAGGAAAGCTCCGAGGAGATCTAGCACTGAAATACCTCTTCTCATCCCATGCTCGCAGAGCCTGGCCATGGCTGAAGCTCCCATCCTGATACAGTTCTGGCAGCACCCACTACGGGCTGCCATCAGCTCTTCACACAGACCTCCTGCTGCTGCTTGCTGTGGTCACATCTCTCGAGGCAAGCTCCAGTTGCTGCCACAAGCCGGTCCAAGCAGAAGCGCAAGATTCGTGCATGCTTTCAGAGCTCGTTACTTAGCTTGGGGCACGCTTATGCAATGCTGCAGCTACAAGCCCATCGCGCTAGGAGTCAGCTTTCAAGACACCTCGCTGCTCTCTCGCAGCAGGCCCAATAAACGCCGTGCAGAGGCCGTGCCCGCGTGCTGCGCCGCCGCGTCCCGCCTGGGAGCGGAGCTGGAGAGGCGCGAAACGGAGGGAGCGAAGAGCGGAGCGGGCGGGGACAGGGGCCCGAGGGGAAGAGTCGCGTCCTGGTGCAGGGGGAGGAAGCGGGGAAGGGGCCGTCGTGCTGGGACGCTGCGGGAAAGGATAGGGATGCTGGGCTGCCTGCCAGGCAGTGCAGATATACGCGCTGCTCTGCCGCTCCAGCTTCGCGGTGTTGGAGTCTTCAGCCGTACCCGATGTTAGGGACAGGTTCCCTGACACCTGTGGGAGAGTAAAGGTGAACCGTTGAGAAGGTTCAAGTTTCATCCCGGTGCTAAAGAAATTTCGTCATCCCAGGGATGGAATATTCACACATTCCTTCCCTTTCAGAAAGTGTTGGAGAGGACAGCTGGATGAAAGCTTGTAAACGGGAGGCACCATCACCAAGCAAACACGAGAAAATGCAGCAAATTATTTCCCAGTGCCCTCCTCTGGTTGTCAGACAACGCTGGCAGCCAAAGATTAGACAGGAGAGGTCCCTGTCTCTTGCTCAACCCGATCAGTGTGTGGAGGCAATGGTAAAGCAAACACGGTTTTTCCCTCCAACAGCGTCCATGTAAACATCTAAAAAGCCAGTTAGTAGATTATCTGCACTACTTGCAAGCATGGGCTTCTTGGCCTGCACTGAAGACAAGCATCTCTCCATCCTGCAGTACAGCAGCATCCAACAGAGAAGTGCCAGATGCAGTCTCATCCTGTGACTAAGATCAGCCCTGCAAAGTGAACAAGACAGGTCCACTACATTAACAGAGGGCCTGCAGATTTTCTTTGTAAGGTTTGAAGATAGAAAAGTAAACCCACCAATTTGCTGTAGGATCTGTCTAGGAGATACAGATAAGACAAGCCCATGGCAGCAGGAATCAGGAGGTGAGACAGAAAAAGATGAGGTGAGACAAAAAGAAAGTTTCTGGTATTGTAGAATTCTGGAATACTAGAATGGCTTGTGTTGGAAGGGACCTCAAAGCCCACCCAGCCCCAGCCTCATGCCATTGGCAGGGTTGCCACCTACCAGCTGAGGCTGCCCAGCCTGATCCAGCCTGGCCCTGAATGCCTCCGGGGTGGGGCATCCACAGGTTCTCTGGGCAGCCTATTCCAGTAGCAGCAACATGACTGAACTGTGTTGACACAGCTTCTTTTTCACTAGAGGAAGCTAAATAATATGGTGAGGTTACAGTGCTAGTTATCAGTCCTCTGCACAGGCCTCAGATGAGGCAAATATGAATTAAGACTGCGACAGCACCAAAATCTGTACCTTGCTGGAAAAGCACACTTCCCATACAAAAGGCAGCAAGCAAGGAAACTCCTCTGGGTTATGAATGTGCGTTAGAGCATGAGGACAATCTCTAAGGATATGCGAATAGGAACCATTTTGTTTGTGGAGAGCATATAGGAAAACTGTGCCAGCACAGAGATGGAAAGCATCCGTTGGAGCAGAATAGATGCAAAGGTCTGGATGCAAACTAAAGTAATTTTGCACTGCTCTCTCTTGAACTTGAAAATTTCCAGGGGGGGAAAAAAAAAGCCTTTCTGCAGGCAGAGATGGTGAAGTGAGTAGAGGTGCAGGAGATGAACCCAGAGATTTACGGCATGCTCTAAAGGAAGCTTAGCCCAGGGCAATGCGGCTGTTGCCACACATGGGGCCAGTGGCAGTGTGCCCCCACAGCTGTGTTGGCTCCCTGTGAGCACTTCTGTGCTGCCCTATGTGTGTGTGTGATGAGACACAGTCAGAAATCGCCAGTCTTACCACCTATAATGTTTTGTCCCATCCCCCTCACCCCCCCTTTTTTTTTTTAAAATAGCCATTATACTACAAAAAATGAATAAACTAAGTCAGCTCTCAAGAGAGGCCACCGGATTTGTCAGACCTACAGATACAGCTGGAGCAAACAATCTGTCAGGCATTTGGTGTGTTTTGGGGGCTGATTTGCAGCCTGGTTTGGTTCTGATTTTGTTGTTGTTGTTGTTTTTCCCAACAGTAATTGGCAGTATCACAAAATGCATTTCTCCCCCTTAAACACTTTGCCTCACATTGAATCCCAGATAGCGGTGGCTGCAGCCACCCAAATTCCATCCCAAGCACATCAGCCAGAGCTTAGGACCCAGAGCCCTGCTTTAGGCTTACGGGATGTGACAGCTGATGGAAAATCAATGAAGTGTGCTTCACAGAGCGTCATAATGATGCAAGATGAGGCTCAAAAAGTGCCTGCTTGCCTTTCAGGCTCGGCTGTCTGCCTTAGGTTTTAACCAGATTGTTTTAGCCCCCTTCTAGGATGCGATCAACTTGCCTATGAAAAGAAAGGACTATATTTAAAGGAAAAGCTACAGCCATGCCCATGCTGTGTCTGTTGCTCTGTGTGCTGTGTTGGAGCCATTCAGGTAAGAGCAATTTCTGCTTCTTCCAAACTGAACTACAGATGTTCCAGATTTTTTTCTGACACAGAGTTAGCTGCTCTTTGCTGGGAAGAGGCAGATACGGCTTCTTTTTGTCCTCATCTAGCACTGCCAGACCAGCAAGGCAGCGCTGTATCAGCTGCTGACTTTGCACTGCAACCTCAGTAGCAATAGAGCTTTAAGATTTATGGTGCATGGGGGGGGGAGGGGGGGGGGGGTCACAGTTAGGAGTTAAGCAAGGAGCCAAGGCTTTGCCCTCACTGCTGTTCTGGGCAGACCTCCATCATGGGGAGCACAGTCCGATGCCCCGGATGAGCTGATGAGGTGCCCTGCCAGCCTTTCTCAGGGGGTGCGTGTCTGTGTGGCAGAGCCCCTGACCAGCCCTCCCCATTCCTGTTCCTCTGACAAGCTGCCACTAGTATGAACTGCAGCAAGACAGGGGGCTTCTGGCATAGGAGCAGAAGCATGGGGGCAGATGATTCTCAGTTACTTGTCTTTGTGACAAACTAATACGGAGCTCCAGAAGTTTTGCCCTCTCTCTATTCTGTGTGATAAACTCAGGAAATCTAGGCTACTGCCCATGTCTCAGTTTTTCCAAAGGCAGCATTGCTTTGTTCAGTGTTTTCTCTGAAGCTTTATCTTACTTAATCATCACAGGTGATCAAAAGAGCTCCTCGGCTATTTTTTCCCCAGGTACATTTTCCTTCTCATTAAAAACTTGTATTCTTAAACTGTTCCCCTACATGTATTTAGTCTGCCTTATAAGAGCTCCAGTCTTGTTCTTTCTGCTCTTCTCCACAACGCCTCCCAGGAGTGTTTGCCTCCAGCTGTCACTCCAGTGGGGATGCTGGGCTTGATGCTGCAGGGCTGCCCCTCCTCAGCTGCTTGGAAGGGGCTGAAGCCACTGTGCTCTTGGGCTGGCAAAGGGGGTACAGACTCCCTGTATACAATGGGGCTGGCAAGGCATGTGTGGTAGAAGTGAGGCGGCAGCAGGGCAGAACTGTGGCTGACAGTGCAGCTGTCCTGGCACAAGGACAGTACAAGATTCTTTTTCCCCTCTGGGAACTCTGAACCAGGGTGAGATCGTGCTCACCTTTTGGTGCAGCATGCGTGCCAAGGAAGAGGCAGAGTGTCAGTGGGATTGCTGTTGAAGAGAGGTGGGAGGTATCAGTTCTGAGCTGCACCTTCTATGGTGCAGGGCAGTGCTGGGGGAGTCCCAGGCCTTGCAGGTGCAGACCCAGCACTGAATGCATTGCCTCCTGCTGCCAGCTGAACACCTTTCGGTTTTTGCTCCCCTGGTGCTGTAGCCTTTCCTCTCTCTCACTGTCAGAGAGAACTCCTTAATTATTATTATTTTTTCTCCCTGTGGTTTGCTATCTTTTTGCTAAACTCATGAAAAGGGTTTATTTCTCAGAGCTGTGTAGGGGTCACTCTCATTTGGTTTACAGGCCCTGCAGCAAGAAAATCATGCAATCCACATTAATATGTTTGGGTGGGAAGTTTCTATTCCAAAAAGGTCATATAAACAGAATCACAGCATGAGTGGGATTGGCAGGGACCTCTGGGTCCATCTGGCCCAATCCTTATTCAGCAGGAACGTCCATAGCAGCGTGCCCAGGCCCATATCCAGATGACTTTTGGAATGCTCTAAGGAGACTCCATCACCTCTGTGAAGAGTGGATGCCACCTCTGTGGCAGTGCTCCATCACCTGCATAGCACAGAAGGATCATGCTGTGTTCATGTTTGTCCCCATTGCTTTATGTCCTGTCAGTGGTACCACTGATAAGAGCCTGGCTCCAGAAAGAGAGCAAGTGAAAATCCATGGACCTGAAATGTCCATAGTTTATTGGTGTTCTTTCTGTCTATCAGCCAGGAATATCCCCACAGCAACCACCATCTCCCCATGATTTCATCTCTCCACAGTAACCCGCAGGTATTTGGAGAACCTGGAGTGTCGTTAGCCAGGATGATCTCCTTGGGCTGTGACATCCCTTACCTCCTGCACGTCCTTCTTTCTTCCAGATGTGGCTGCCCTTGGTTCAGTTGTGGAGAATGAGGACGCGCTCCTGAGAAACTTATTTCAAGGCTATCAGAAATGGGTCCGCCCTGTGGAAAACTCCAATGACACCATCAAAGTCCTCTTTGGGTTAAAGATATCACAGCTTGTGGATGTGGTAAGCGCTGTGTCAGACTCAATAAAGCATTGCTTCTCCTGTGGAGAGCCCTGTGCCTTGCTGTGGTGCCAGTTGTGCTGCTGGCCTTGGCTCCTGACACAACATCCACTGGTCAAGCAACAAAGTACCACCTGGTGTGGTGCCAGGGTAGGACCTCCAGCTGCCCTGGGGCTCTTCATCTCCCAATAAACCTGAAGGCCCGCTCCTGCCTGCAGCTCCTGTCGTTAAAGCCTTGTCACATCAGAGGCTGTCCCTGGGCCTTGCAGGATAGCAAGGTACAGGGCTGGGTATTGCTAGCCCCAGGCAAGGTGTATCCAGGCCAAAACCAGCAGGTGACTCAGCCACACAGCGGGGACCTGGGGTGAACCAGACAACGTACGCGTGAGCTCACTGTCCCTTTCCCCTTTGTGCAGTGCATGGTGGGGTTTGCACAGTGTGGGAGGGCCAGAGGATGCCAGATGGCAGCAGTGCTCCTCTTGCTGTAGAGGACAAGTTCTCCTTTTGTGCTTTCTTTACAAGCTTTGTCTTCTCCCTGCCCAGACTTACCTCAGGTTGGGCACCCTGGGGATGTGAGCCGCCCTGCTTTCTGTCCTAGACTTGTCATCTCCTTGTGCCTCAGCACCTGATTCTGTGGGGGCTAAGATAGGTCCTACTGGATCATATGTGGTGGTTGTCTCCTCTGGCTGTCCTGGTATTGCAGGCCTCTCTACCTTGTGTTGCCCTAGGATGAGAAGAACCAGCTGATGACGACCAACGTGTGGCTGAAACAGGTAAATCAGATGGCCTCAGACCTTCCCATCCACTGCAAGGCTGCTGAGTGCTTTGGATGAGGGGCCGCTGCAGCCTGCCACTCTGCCCATCACCATCCATGACAAACTCAGTGCCACATAGCCCTGCCTGAAGTTCTCCTCTCCATTCAGCCAGTGCCCAAAGAGGAGTAGAGGCAGATATTGAGCTTTCAGGATGCAAGGTACCCTCTTTCTGGACTGCATCCCAGCTATCCCAACCCATCTATATTCTAGGGAAGCAACATCTCCTGGAACTGTGACAGTTGTTCTGGGATGCTGCCTGTGCGCTGAGGGACTATCCTATCTCAGACTTAGAGGTCATTTGAGCACTCTGTCCCTTGCCCCAGCTAAGACAGTCTTCTTCTTCAGCACAAGTAAAGAGAAAAAAAAGGGTCAGAATGTTAAACCCCCCAGATTAAAATCTGTGGGATTTCTGCAAATTAGTCATAACTGTCTGTCCTGCTTCTGGAAGTAATTTACACAAGAGAAGGAAAAGCTCAAGCTGAACTGTTAGATCTCCTTCACTCCTGAGGAACATTGTATTTGGTTTAGATTACATTGCACTGGTTTATTGACCTTGTGACAATTATTTTAAGTCTCTCAGCCGTGTGAGCATCTATAGATGTGTCAGATGATCTTAGGGAGAGGACACAAAACCCAAGGCTTTGCACAGAATGATTCTGTAAGGAGTAGTTCCCAGACTGCTGGGGCTGGTGGAGGACAAGTGCAGCTCAGTTTGTTTCCTCAGTTTGATGTCTACAGCCCTGCAGTGATTGAGCTCTGGGATAGTGTGGGATCCTGGATACTGAATGGGTACTATGCAGTAAGATGGCCTCTCCCCTGGCCAGTTCCTCTATCCAGGACAAAAAAACTCCAGTGCCCTGGGACAGCCTTCATCCCTCTGGCTGTGTGACATCTCCATAGATGTATTAATGCATTTGGGGCAGTTCTGGTCAGACATTCCGGTCAGGCATGTGACACCTTTTTCTTCACAACACTGACCTGATTTCAAGCCCGTGTCACCATTCACACTGTAGGAAACCAGGTTCTGCTGCAGGTTCCTCTGAGCATGCTGCAGGGCTAGAGCAATGCCACCATCTTCTCCTTGCCTCACAGGTATGAGGAGAAGAAGAAGGAAACCATTTTTTCTGATCCCTCTGCCTTAAAGCATGGATAAAAGAAAGACCTGACCAGGAAGTTGCACTGCAGACATGCCACTCCTTTGCAGGTGTTTGGAAACCAAGCTCACATTTTAGCCAGGGCAGCTCCCTAGGATAACTGAACACTGAGGTGTTCACACAGGTTTCTGAACTGGGCTCCTGCTTGGTGCTATTCTTTCTAGAACCTCTTCTGAGCATTCTGAGGACTCTCAGATGGGCTATCAAGGAAGTGCAAAGTGCTTGAATGTGCAGAGCAGAAAATAAGTGAGACATGGTCATTGGTTTTCACATATGCTGATATCCTCAGGAGGATGGGCTGAGCACTAAATACCCATGGTCTGGCTCTGGTGTTCCATTCTAGGAAACACTGTCTAGGAATCTAGAATTCGCAAAGGCTTAGTGTGAGCTGGTTTCGCATGCAATTCAATACTTAGAATACTGTTAGAAATTGCAAGAACAACAGCTGAGAAAAGATGCCTAAAACTAAGCAGCATTAAAATATCTTTTTGTTCTGTTTAGAGAAAAATGAAGAACATCCAAATCTTTCCAAGGACTCAGAGTTCCTTACTCTGCAGGAGCTGGGAGGTCAGGGAAGGCTGATAGTCACCTTGGAGGTGAAGGGGGAGTCAGAGATATCATTCCTATGCATGAACTTGGCTTTTCTTAGATAAACAAAGCTCAGATGAAAGGATTTTCTTCTTTTATTTTTCTTTCTTTTTCCTCTCAAATCCAAGTTCTAAAGATGCTGGAAACTGAAGTGGGCTTCCTGGCAAATGTAGAAGGTGCAAAGGAGTTCCAGTGGTTGCTGAGATTTATCTGTTGCTGGGCAAATTGTAGAATTAATTGCTAAGCTGGGGCCCAAAGTTTCTTGACCTGGCTTCACTGGCTTAACAACCTGAGCCCAGAGGCAGGAGTTTGGCAGAGCTGGTGGAACGGGAGAATAGTGGGGAATCTGGGAAGGCAGGAAGCGGAGAGGAAAAGGCCCTTTACATCTGCTGCTACAGTTCAAGTCAGCATAGCCCATGGGGAGATTCCCATTTTAAACTGTTCATCTTCAAATTCTTCATGCAGTTCATTTTCTGCTCCAGTAAGGAGACACGCAACTATTTGCCTTGCAGACATGAAAGAGCACTTTAGCTTGGAGAGAAATCAATGCAGGGCATGGGGGAGGGAGGATTGCTGCAGATAGACAGAGAATCCAGGCCTTCTGCCAGGCTTAGGAGAGCTCTACCAACCTTGCATCCGTGCATGACCTTGGGCCCTATCTTTCCTTTGCACCTGGAGGAGGAAGGCACTCTCATCTCACCTGGGTCTCTGCTGAGACTCTGGGTTGCTGTAAAGGTCTGAAATAACAAGTGGGTATGGTTATGAAAGGCAGGTGGAACTGAAGCAGTAGGAGCAGGCTATATGATAGAAGAAGTAGCAAAGAAAATTGCTTCTAGGTTTGTCCTTAGCTTATGAAGGAAATTGACGTAGGAAAGCTGATCCGTGGGGAGGTCCTAGTATTGGAGATTGATGGAAAGTGCTTCATTATTTGCTTCATGATATTAGCCACAATCTGCAGATCTTGTTTCCACTTGCTTCCATTCTTATGAGCAGCTGAAAAACCGTACCATGAAAGAGAACAGAGAGATGCACCTCAGTTTCTGGGTTGTTGGTGCCACTTTGCTAGGCTCTCTCCAGGTAACAAGACACAACGATTCAATGTGATGAAAATGGCCAGGACTCTTCTTGCTTTTTGCATTTTTTCTTTAACGTAAAAATATATCTTCAGAATTGTAACCAAATTCTTTGCAACATGATCATATTAATTTTCCTGTAATGGTATGCCAATCTTTCTCATGAAACAACAATTTGTATTGCAGGGACAGTGTAATTAAGCACATAGAGATAGATGTCATAATGTAGGCACTTCTATGAAAGATCTTGCACACTGACATTACCATTACTGAATCATAAAATAGCTCATCCCATTCAGCACTGGGAAATATCTATAGGAAAACAGACAGTACTCTCCACAAGCGCCTGCTTGAAGGCTGCCTGGATAGGCTTTTTTACAAGGCTCACCTCTGGCTGAAGGGGCAGTGCTTATGGGGATTAATGTCTTCCAGCCATGCCTGCACGACATCCCTTCTGCAGCTGCTCCATCATATGCCAAGCTCTTCCCTCAGTGCTGTACAATACAGAACAACAAGGCAGATGGGGGGGGAGGAGAAGTAATGAGGCTGCTGGGGGCTGAGCAGGCAGAGAACTGCTGATTCTTTGCAGGAATGGATGGACCACAAGCTCTCCTGGAGTCCAGAGGAATATGGTGGGATCACTGCTATCCGTGTCCCTTCTGAATCCTTGTGGCTTCCTGACATTGTTCTGTTTGAAAAGTGAGTAGCATGTTTCTTACTCCAGGCTTAGGCTGTAGCATGGATGAGACATGCCAGCTATCATAGAGCTTGCGTGCATTCTTAGAGAGCTGCTTGTGTAGGCAGTGTGAATGTTGGCTTTCCTTGCATGGGACTGTGATGGCGTAGCTCTGGGGCACTCTGATCTTGGTACTGTTTCTTTCTGTCTGACTCACAGCGCTGATGGACGTTTTGAAGGGTCCCTGATGACCAAAGCCATAGTGAAATACAATGGAGTGGTGACCTGGACACCACCAGCCAGCTACAAAAGCTCCTGCACGATGGACGTAACCTTCTTCCCCTTCGACAGGCAGAACTGTTCCATGAAATTTGGGTCATGGACATACGATGGCAGTATGGTGGACTTGATTCTAGTGGATGAAAATGTAGACAGGAAAGACTTCTTTGATAATGGGGAGTGGGAGATCTTAAATGCCAAAGGTATGAAAGGCAACAGGAAGGATGGGCTGTACTCTTACCCATTTGTTACTTACTCCTTTGTGTTGAGACGCCTTCCACTGTTCTACACTCTTTTCTTAATAATTCCCTGCCTAGGATTGTCTTTTCTAACTGTCTTAGTGTTTTACCTGCCCTCAGATGAAGGAGAAAAGCTCTCATTGTCCACTTCAGTTCTAGTCTCCCTCACTGTTTTCCTTTTAGTGATTGAGGAAATAATCCCTTCTTCTTCCAAAGTCATTCCTCTGATTGGTGAGTATCTACTGTTCATCATGATTTTTGTGACCCTCTCTATCATTGTGACTGTCTTTGTTATCAACGTACACCACCGCTCCTCAGCAACCTACCATCCCATGGCTCCTTGGGTTAAAAGACTCTTCCTCCAGAAGCTGCCTCGGCTGCTCTGCATGAAGGGACACGTAGACCGTTATTCTTTCTCAGACACTGAGGAAAAGGAAACCACCTTGAAATCAAAACTCCCAGGAAAGCAGAAACACAAGCAAGCAAAAGATGGAGAGAAGATCGTGATTGCCTTTTTGGAAAAGGCAGCTGATTCCATTCGGTACATTTCCAGGCATGTCAAAAAGGAGCACTTCATCAGGCAGGTAGGTGAAGGGAGGGCAAAGAGGCATCACAGCCTCCTAGTCAGCAGTAACTTCCAAGTTTTTTCTTTTCTGCATGCCCTTCTGACTGCTTCTTCCTCTTGCATTCCTCTTGCATGTGTTTTGGGAGCTCTCCCTGCGGTGTGTGTGAAAGCATGTTACTTCAAGAACAGTGTTGTGTTGTGGGACTCTCTGTTCTTCCCAGATGGAAGGGGGACAAAGCTGGTTGTCCTGGAGGAATTCCTGTCTTAGGAGTATTTGAATAACCTGGTCTTGGTTAAGATGGGGACAGAAGCAAATCTGGAAAACCTGAGTTGCCATATGCTCTGAAATTGTGTCTTTCACAACTGTTCTGGGCAAGTTTTATGGCATTCACTAGGGCTCAGTCTTGGCCTCCCATCTATTCTATGTAGTGTATGTGCCCTGTTTTGAGCTGAGGCCTTCATGGTTTGCAGTAACAGAAGTTCATTTTAGACACTCTTCTCCTCCATCTTTCTCCTCCCAGCAATTCACCTGGCTATTAACATTGCAAATTTTAGAAGTTAGTTAAGTAATGTGTCCATAAACAGTGCACCTCACATAAAGGTAGTTTAGCCAAGCAAGGCAACAAGCAGCATAGTAAAGAGAAGAAGTTCTCTTAGCACCCTCCTAGCAAAAGCCAAGGCTTTGTTTAAATTTTATTGGTGACATCACAGGGTGAGGAACAGTAAACCAAATGTGCAGTATGTGAGCATGTAGTGTCCGAGACTGAAGTCTTCTCTTTGAGGCTTGAATTATTTAAAAAAAAAAAAAAAAAAAAAGTCCATTGAATCTGTTTTATAAACAGTGCTTCCATTTATTCAGGGCTGTGCCAGTACACACAGTGCAGAGCCTCCCTCCTAAATGCATGCAGCATGAGCCAGCAGAGCACTTAGGCAAACACAAGCTGTTGGGACCACTTGTACCGCAAGTAACATCTGCGTCAGAGTGCTTTGCTACAGCCAACTCCTAGCCCTCCAAGGGAAATGCTAAAAGAAAACCTAAATCATTATAAAGACATCTGCAGGCTTCAGTCAGCTGTAAGTTTTTACCTATGCACTTAGCTAAAATCTTTTGCACAGCCTGAAAGAAGTCTAATTATCACGTGCTTATACCATGAAAATGCTCTGGTGTCTTGAGAGACTGGCACGTATGGCTGCTGAAAAGCTGACCCATATTGGCTTCAGGCTACAGCACACTGCAGTCTGATTTTTAAAAGCAGGTTTTTTGGAGTTGAAATATGTTTAGTAATACCAACAATGTACTGGCCTCCTTGCTGTTTCTATTTGCTTTTCCTCTCTCCTTCACAGGTTGTCCAAGACTGGAAATTTGTAGCTCAAGTCCTGGATCGGATCTTCCTGTGGTTATTCCTGGTGGTGTCAGTGGTGGGTTCAGTTCTCATCTTCACCCCTGCGTTACAGATGTGGCTGAATAGCACCTTGTAGAAAATGCTCCCACACTAACATACAGCAAGCCCAATGACGTGGGATAGTGGTGCCTTTGAGACTGGTTTCTGTTCTTCAGGATGGGAAGCAGTGCAAGAGCAAGAGAAGGTGATGTTAGCAACAGGCATTGGTTACTACTTCCTGCACGTGGCTCTGACTGTTACAACCTTGGTGGAGACTGGAGAAGGGCTCGGTGAACAGCAGAATCCAAAATTGAATTGGGGATGCATAAATGAGTTATAAGTATTTTACTAGTAGTTCGGTTATAATACGATATTATTTTATTGTTATTTATATTATATTGCTGGGATTATTAGTTATACTTGGGGATAGTAGTTCTGGCACAACCATTATGTGTAATGAGCAGATGTGTCAGTTAAAATACTACTTAATTAAAGAAATTAGAGTATAGTAGCAACATTGTGCTCAGTTCTTAGTGCACAGTAGCAAGTCAGTATTCAGTTTATCTACATTACCAAGTAAAAACCACAAAGTCTTTACAGATAGCTTTCTACATGTGTCAGAACTGGCAACTATATAGCATGTGCATTAGAAAAAAAGCGTGAACAACTGTCAAAACCTCTACTCTGTGGCCATACCTTCAGGACCAGCTCAAGCATGGCAGAATTTAGAACTCTGCCCACCCACTACCAACCAACACTACCAACCACTACTACCAACTACAGCATGCACATTTTGTCTCTCCTCTTGGCCATCAGGAAGTTGCATTATTATAATTCTGTATAATATTCATTTTTGCCTCATGCTGTGGAAGATAATTAAAGGCTGAACAAGTGAGAGCTTTTCCCATGCTCCTCCACATTTGGAAACTATGATTCCCGCACCTGCATGTTCACAGGACTGGAAGATCATCTGGAGGACATCTGCTGAAGGACCACAACCATGCCGCTCCAAGTGGCAACAAAGATCTTCCGAAGTAATTCAGTTGGAGGAGATACAAGATCATCTGTGGCAAATGAAGCTTGTCTCTGGTGCAGAAGTGTTTTTCTCCTAAGAGCTGTGGGGTGTGTTGGCTGCCAGAAGGGTACATCTTTAGTGTTGGCTTGTCCATGTTTCTCAGTTAGTTCAGAATTTCATTGCTTTGACGCATTTAAATGGAATCCTTCTGCATTATTAGAAGAGAAAATGCACAGGTGAGGGTCTCCTCTACATTCCCTGGAACAATGCTTTGCTATCATTACATCCTTTTGAAAACTTCTCTCAGAAGTTGTAGGCATTTTTGAGGCTAACAAGTGATTGGAAATCCAATTTCTGACAACATAAATGTAAACCTGTTGCTAAAGCTTTAGTTAACCTTGAAACTTTCTCTCTAAGGGTGGAGGTCAGAAGGTGTTTAAAATATCCAAAGGTATTGTTGTGTTGTATGACATGTGCACACCAGGCTCTGTAAGTTCGGATCATCCCATCTTGTTTCGTCACTGAAGTTCTCTTGGGCAAACATAATCAATAAAGTTGTGTTTAGTAAATGATTCTCAGAAGTGAGAACGCTCTTACGTTAGTCTGAAGGTGTTCTTAACTTTTTGCTTTGCCAGTCCAATTTCTAGCCCTCATTAAAAAAACGCTGGTTTCAAATCTGTTCAATGCATGATTTTGCTTGTTTTTGGAAAGTACTCGTAACTTTTAACCTGTGTGCATGAGTTTGAGGAGGAAGCTTTCAGAGTTGGCTATTGTATTGCAGGATCCCAGAGCAGATCTATTTAGTTTAGCATGTTCAGACAGGTGTCTCAATGTAGACACTGATGTATAGATCTCACACATTAACCTGTTCTTCTTTCCGTGCGCTGTTCAAATCATTTTGTTACCCTGACCAGTACTGTGAAATATCCATAGGAATACCTATTTCCAGCAATCAAAGACTCTTGAACTCAAAAGTGATGGATTTTCCCACTGACTGTTAGTGCCAAGGGGCTGCCTATTAGTGATGGTGGATGACAGAATTCTCTTCTGTGTAAGTGCTTCAGGTACTCAGCTGGCAGATGATGCTGTCCTTACCTTGCTTCAATTCAGTTTCCAACCTGCAGACAGCAGACCTCTTTGTATTATGTGACCATATCAGACTGCAAGCTGCTTTTTCCTGTTTTGTTTGGGAGGGCTCAGGTGCATGTACTGGGAGAAGTGTGAGTGCTGCACTATCCTCTTGGCTTTTGACCTCTGGTGCTCCTAGCACAGCCCCCAGAACTGCTACATTTTTAGTCTCTCTGCCCATTATTCATGCTGACTGTTTCTGAGCTTCCCTGAATCTTATTCCCTCAGGCCCAGAAATGCATTCAGTGCATCTCACTAAAAAACACAATGTGAAAGGACATCTGCGCAGCACTCCTCCCGCTGGGTTCCTTCCTTCTGCTCCATGTGCCTGTGGATGATGACCTTTCAAATTTAAAATCTTAAAAGAAAACCCAGCCTTCTGCCTTCTCTGCCCAAAGTGTGACATCTTGATACCTGGCTCTGCTTTGCCAGGGACCCAGTGCTGCATGGCGGGACCATGTGTATCTTCCATCCACCCGGAGACAAACACGCTGAATTCCTCTGGGCCTTTTCGTGAGGGAGAGTTGGAAGGATGGTCTCCCTTGGGAAGAGAATGCGATGAGCTGGCTGAGCTATCTAACTGCTTCTGGGAACAGTATTTTTAAAATAAATTCACTGATGTGAACACTCTCAGGGAAAGAAAGTTGGTCGCCGCCGATGGTATGCTTACTGGTGGAATATATAATCAGCCCTGCATTCACCTCCAGCCATTCTATTATTTTCACTGTCTGTATGGCCACAGGTTCAACAGCAAATGCTGGAAATCAGATGCCTTTCCTGTCAAAATAAAACATTCAGGCACAGAATGCAGCTTTCCTCTTCAAATTCTCTCTCTTTCCCCTTCCATTCTTGCTGATTAATGAGCTAGCACAGAGAGATCATTTGATAACATACCTGAACACATTGTGCAGCAAGCTCTTCAAGTGTGTTCCAGGAGTAATATTTAACTGGCAGGTTGATAAAATAAACAATGTATGTTCATACATCTGTCTGACTGTCACTACAGTATTACGCAATATTCAGGCAGGCTATAGAAAAAAAGATTTTCTTCTAGAAAAGAGTGGCTACATACTTCAAATACGTATTCTTGTCATGCCACTGTTGCCTCTGCCTTATATTTCAGCTTCACTGTCTTTAATATGAGCAGAAAAAGAGTAAAAAGCCAATCAGGGACTTCAGAATGATTCTCTTCTGCCAAGGAACAGTACTGTCTGAAGTAAAGATTGGTGCATGGCACACTCTGAAAACATTGTACTGATACTGCACAGTTAAGAGTTAAGACAGCCTATAGCAGAGAAAACCTTTTTACTCTTGAAGCTGTTGTTTGGAATAGCAATGATGCCCTTTAAGAATCCTTAGGTACAAAACCAACAGGGACAAAATAGGCAAAGGGCCTGAGGGTGAAGTGTCCACATAGTTTAGAAACCACATTAGGTGCACAGCTACCAAGTGTTTCAGGATTAAGCTCGTTACCTGGTTACCCAAGAGAAACTCCAGCCCCAGAGTGTCCCTACAGTTGCAGAACAGGTTGCACACCCAGGACTGTTCTGACAGGAACCTCTGCAGAGCTGTTTGGATCAAAGTGCCTACCTTTGCATAGGATTCATGATAATCTGCCTTCTTTTGACATGATATGTGTAATCTAATTTGAACCTGGTTTTGAAAACAGATAAAATCAATGCTGCCCATCCAGTTCTGTCTGTGATGAATAGCTGCCCAGGGACAATTGCTTCCCAAGTGGGCTTACAAGTGAACCTGAGCAGGAAAGTATTTTCAGAGCAGCCTCTGTGGACGGGGACCATAGTCAGGCTGATGTAAGGAATGTGGTTTGCATATCCTTCTGGAGCTGACCACTGATTTTAATACTCAGTACTGGGAAATAAAGGGGAATTTGGTCACAAATATGATGAATAAAATGGCTTTTAAAGATTCTGAGGCATGTGGATCTCAAATGTATATGCTTTACATTTTAATCATGGATGCCTCAGGTCTTTTATGCTTTTACATATTGCATCCAGGTTATTCCCCTCTGGTGCCCCTAAGATCATAGAATCACACAATCGTTTAAGGTTGTAAAAGACCTCTAAATACACCAAGTCCCACCATCAGCGAATCCCCACAATGCCCACTAACCACATCCCTCATTGCCACATCCACGCGGTTCTTGAACACCTCCAAGGAAGCTGACTCCACCCCCTCGCTGGGTGCCACTACAACACCACTTTTCTGAGTTTTTCCCAACTTGAACCTCCCTTGGTACAGCCTGAGGCCATTCCTTCCCATTCTGTTGCTGTTACTGGGGAGAAGAGGCAGACACCCTCATTTCCACAGCCTCCTTTCAGAGCAATAAAGTCTCCTCTCATCCTCCTCTTCTCCAGACTGAACGATCCCAGCTCCCCATAAGACTTGTGCTCCAGAACCCTCACAGCTTTGTTGTCCTTCTCTGGACACACTCCAGGGCCTCAGTGTCTTTCTTGTAGAGAGAGGCCCAAAACTGAATACAGGACTCAAGGTGCAGCCTCACCAGTGCTGTGTACAGAGGGATGGTCACCTTTCTTCTCCCGTTGGCAATACTACTTCTGAAACAAGCCAGGATCCCGTTGGCCTTCTTGGCCACCTGGGCACACTGCCGACTCATGGTCAGCCAGCTAATAATACCCTCAGGTCCTTTTCCAAAAAGCTGCTCCAAACAATGTTAGAAAGACTGTGCATTGCAGCATATCAAGCAGGTTTGTCATTAGTGAGAAATGCTTAAGACCTATTAGGCTTCAAGCATAAAACTAAATACATGTGCTGCTGATCTCAGATCCTCATTTGTGTACATGTGTTGTAGAAGATGGGGATTGTGTAAACATTACGGAGTCAAGGGATTTGTTTGATTGTACTTTTATTTGGATTTTTGCCTGCCCTGTCCCAAAAGCACAGTAAAGAGTGTTGATTGAGTCAGTAGGACTGTGGTACCTCAACTAAGCGCCATGCTGATGTCTAGCATTGTACAAGGAAAGAAATGTAAGAGTTGTGACGAGGAAAGAAAAATAAGACCTTTGTTCTCTTAGCACAAATCACTCATAATGGCCCCCTGAACTGAAACCATGGGAAAAAATCAATTTCTGCCCACTACAGTGATTCTTGGTGCAATTGCTACTGAAGATCTAATTGAGAAGACAGACAGCTACTCTATAAATCGCAGCCTCTCTGCCTTAGAAAGACCAAAAGCTCATTTCACATTTTCAGTACCCTTCTCATTCTGCCTTGGATTATTGCTTGCTTCCCTTCTCTCCACTGAAGCTAGATGCTGAGGGATGACGTAAGAGGAGAGGAATACAGGGGGCAGTTCCAAACTGAAAATGGAATACCAACATACGTGGAAAAAAAAGGAGTGACTCAAGTTATGCATCTGCTATTAGTGGCTGGATAAATAATCCAGCAGTCCCAAACACACAAAGGATTATAAACACCCAGAGAAATACTCTGTCAATCACCATAGCTACATATTTCCAATCGTCTTCCACCTGAAAGA